CTGCGTTATTTTCTGTATCTGGGTTAGAGGAGTGACCATTACCAATCTGGCAGCAACTCCTGCCTCCTAGAAAAATCAATGCAGGGACTGGAAGTCTAGTCTTCCTCATACGGCACAAAAAATGAGAGCTCTGTCAGAAGGGGTGCCTTCTAATTGTAAGGTTTTCTTGCCTCCTATGGTGGGCTTCATATGACTAAATGACATACGACAATATAGGACATAACATATCTAAACTAGTCAACCTATGCTCTTTATAGTCAATGGAGATGTGTGGCGTGACAAACTGTGTCATCTCTGCTGAGTGCAGAGAGAACACTGCAGGACTAGTTCTGCCATACTGAGATTCTCAGCATTAGTGCAGGTTGTGCCAAATTGTGCCAGAATCTGTAGATGTCAAGTTAGATGAGCTGAAACACGCCTTCAGTGAGTGCAGAAGAACCTTTCTTGGCATGAATTGAAATTGCATACCCTTGCTTTGGTGCAACTTGCTCACTTAAGGAATTCCATTAAAGTTTATCCAGTATTGTTAAAGACCATAGAAGCAGCATTTTATGTACTTGTCAGCAAAGTACACGCACAGAAGCACTTGTGCTGAATAAAAGGCACTATTTTAAAGTATTGTTCCTTCCCTCTTTCCCCCTCCCAAATTACCTTATTTCTTCCATCAGCAAAACCACTGAATTGCCTCTTAGCACACCATTAAAAATCCCTTTCTTATGAGACTGGTATTTTACACCAGTTTTCAATGGATGTTGCTGGAGCCCGATGCAATACTTGGCTTACTGGCAGAAAGACACTGTTGCCATCTTCTGGGAGAGACTCTTTCATGTGCTAGCAAATGTCACATCTGAGTGTTATTGCAGGCAGGGACAGATGATGTAAAGCTGAGGCTGTCACTTTAAAGGTTAATGTCATGTATACCACGGTGTCAGAGAGGTGAGAAATTAATGTCTTAGCAATATGAGTTTGGCTTGTATTGTCTTCCTTCCGCAACCTCTCAGGGTATTTGCATGTGCAAATTATTGAATACTAAAGCATTGTTCCAAGTTTGCCTTTTCTCTCTTTGCTTGTCTTGCACTGCTGGAAAAGAATTGACAGTAGCTGTTACTAAACCAGTTGTGTGGCATTGCTGACTGTGAGTTAAGCAGGCCTACCTTATAGCAGAACTGAGAGTATCTCTGGATTAAGCTGTTAAACATTCACACATGACTACTGGCACCTGTCACATGAAAGATTAAATTTGCACTTATGTTTTCCTGTCGCATTCAGTAATGAACATCAAAAGGATTCTAGTTGACAAAAAAGGGATTAAGCCATTAAGTAGTGGTAATATGCACCTGTCATAAACGTAAACTTATGACTACCTTTATAAATTCTCAGGACAACTTGACTGCTTGCACTGTGTTCACATTGACACTTCCTTTGTAACAAGGATTTTGTAAAAGTGAATTCTTCACAAGGGTTATTGCCATATAATGCACTTTTAACAAACTGTATTTATTATAGTCATACAATAAATTAGTATCTAGTAGTCCACAGTTTCAAGGTTCTTTCAAGCATGTTTTTTAAATAAACATATGGAATCCATGTAAATGAAAAGGGGTTGTCTTTCTTGATTAAAGATCTTGTCCAGAATAAAGTACATTACACAGTATATCAATAAAGCACATATGCTAGACAAAAGGTCATTTTGTTTTAGTGGAGAGCTGTACAATTGCAAAGTGCTTAATTCATTTTAAAAACAATAATAAAACTATGGCTATTGTAATACAAAAGATTGTAATAAAAGCTTTTCACAATTTTATGTTGTTTTTGTCAATGGTACTCCTGTTAACAGTTAAGAAAATTCACGAGGCAACTTAGTGCTGAGTTGTCACTTACAGAGCAACATATTCAGGAAAGTAAGGTGGGTTCGAGTTGCTAAAAAATGAACAGCACTTGATAAAAACACAGTGATTAGTCTATATAGCTGCAAAAACGACCAGGCTGCCACTTCTTCCATGGAATTTGCTGTCATTTCAGCTCAGAGTTCTGTGCATGCAGCATCTGCAGGATTAATGTTGGGAAAAGGCACACTGCCAGTTGATTCTAATATGGTTTCATGGAAAAGAAGAGAAAGGGGTATTCTTCTAACAGCACTTTCCAAAGCTGTGCTAGACTGTTCTTAACACATTAATTTCAGAGCCTCATAGTTGTGTTATTCTTTCTTCCATTTTTCTTTCAGTTTTCGTTGCTGCAGTCTTTCCTCTCAAACCATGTTCTTTTCACCCACAGGTTTCTTGAAAATACATCTACATAGAGTATGATAAGAGTGTCCCCACCTCTACAACAACCAATTTATCCTCTATATGAAATGCATCTCCATCAGTGTCAAGCATTTACTTGATACAGTTCAAGATTTGAATCATCTGTTGCCAGGTTTCTTCTAAAGCAAAATGGAGACATTTAACTAGAAGACATAATTAGTAAATACATATATTGCCACTTTTTAATCAGTATTAATAACTTCAACACTGCATTGTCAAAGTTGCTTGGGGGAAAGATGATTATTGCAAATTCCAGTTTAAATACGTGGGAATGTCTATATTATGCTAAGTTGTTTAAGAATGTCAATGCCACCTTTTATTACAAAGTATACAGATTATGTGTTATAAATATACGCATGTAGATGAATAAAGGAGGGTGCTTTTAGAAAGCATGGCATTATAAGATCTTGTCTTTATGACTCTTGTTTTTCCATTTTGCTATACTACTGATCTGAACTGGAACTAGCAGTAACACCTTAATTGTCATAACTTTACCCACTAAAATAGAGCATTAAGTATCACCTGGAAATAAATATGGCAACAATAGTGTAGACTAACCAGGAGACCAGCAAAGGACAAAGATAGTGGTCTTTGATTTTAACAAATCACTTGAAAACAATGTGAATTTGTTTTAGCCTGGGGGGTGTGGGGGGTGTGGGGACGTGTGTAAAAGTATTTAAGAGAAGGATTGGCTTTTGCTGTGAACATCCAACCATCAGGTTTATCTTACAGGTAGTTAGTGTTATTTCTAATATAGGTGTTATTTTTACATTTAGTTTCAAATTCATAGGTTTTTTATATTTATCTTACAATGAAAAAAAATTAAATTCCAACTTGTAGTAAAAGTAATATGCTAACAGTCAATTGTAATAACAGTACTTAATTTAGTGTATCATCAGTGCTCAATATAATGTTATATGTACTTTACAGCATTGCCTGGTAAAGACACAGAAC